AGTTTATCCCCCCCCCCCCCCATTTTGTTAAATAAAGAGAGTTTCTATTTTTGAACACACATGCCCTTTATTTTTTACATCAGGAAGGGGGTAAGTGGAAGGAGGCGAGGGAGGAATGGGGTATGAGCCCCTGATGGGGAGGACTGGGGTGGCTCTGCGGGCTCCTCGGGGTGAAAGTTCTCCTGCAGGGCCTCCTGGATCCTGACAGCCCCCCGATTGGCCCCCCCAGATGGCAGCCTGCGACAAGTGCAGCCGGGCTGATGGCCAAGTGCTGTGATGTGCCGAGTGTGGGCACTCAGGGCACTCCAAGACAGGACTGCTTTGCTGTCCCTCATCGAGGTAGACAAGCAAGCGGGGAACCCTGAGAACTGTCTGTCCGAGTGGGGATAGGATCCCTTTAAGCACAGCCCTCGGCTAGCCTGAGGCAGCAGATCCACACTCTAAGTCCTAACCTGATGCCCTGCTGGCACTGGTTCCGACCAGCCTTAACTTCGGTTCAGGGTCCACTCTGTGTGGACATGCTAGTTTGAATTAGCAAAATGCTAGTTCGAATTAGTTTTTAGGTCTAGATGCACTAATTCGAATTAGCTTATTTTGAATTAACTAAATCGAATTAAGTCAGTCCGAATTGGTGCTGTAGTGTAGACACACCCTGGGTATGTCTACACTACCCCGCTAATTCGAACTAGCGGGGTAATGTAGGCATACCACACTTGCAAATGAAGCCCGGGATTTGAATTTCCCGGGCTTCATTTGCATAAGCCGGGTGCCGCCATTTTTAAATCCCGGCTAGTTCGAACCCCGTGCCGCATGGCTACGCCGGGATTTAAAAATGGCGGCACCCGGCTTATGCAAATGAAGCCTGGGAAATTCAAATCCCGGGCTTCATTTGCAAGTGCGGTATGCCTACATTACCCTCCTAGTTCGAACTAGCGGGGTAGTGTAGACATACCCCCTAAGTGCCTAGTCTGCAAGTTCCCAGGTGCTCGTTTGCAGGTACCAATGGGTGGCTGTGCACCTAAGCATACACGTCTTGCACCGGCCTGCAGGGCGACCCCCCTCGGCTGTGCTCACCTTGCATACAATGGGGGGCTCACCGTGCACATAGACCCACTTTGCACACGCACCTGCCCATTGGCATGGCCCAGGGCTGGCACTCACGTGTGCCACACGCTCTTGGAGCACTCACCTCCGCAGGGCTGGAAGCTGGGGATGGCCGGGATGAGCACATGGTGCAGGAACAGCGTGTTGCAGTTCATCTTGATGGTGCCTGACAGCAGCCCACTGAAGTAACTGATGTACCTGGGGGTGGAGGGAGGCTCAGCTCAGCCCCAGGGTTCTGCCCCAAACTGGACCTGGGGGGAGCTGCCAGCCAATGGTCTCCATATGCCCCTCCTCTGCCCCTCGCCCCTTCCCACTCTCATTACTGCCCCCCCCTCACCTTTTCTGGGACGGCTGCAGGGATGTGGCCACTTTGTCCTCACAGAATTTGCGCATGGTCAGGGTACTGAGTGCCTGGTCCGCGCTGGGGAGTGGGAGAGACAAAGTCAGTGCAAGAGTCTCCCCTGGGCCCA